AACTTATATTTAAATCATTTAAACTTTTATATAGACAACTCGTGTAGATATTATAAAAGTAAATTACAATGCAACGTTTTGTGGTGAAACAAAGGATTATAATTTAAGTATCATTTCAAGAGACATAATCAAGTTGACCTTACACATTTCGTTCATCGTTAGAGGTAAAACATTCAAATTATACTTCAAGAACAATTCTAGACACACAGCAATTTTGATAACGTAATATATTAAATTAATTAAGTTAAAAGGTGAGAGATAAAGCATAATATAATTTATCAGTTCGTAATGCAAATACATAAGGCCCAATATAAAATGATTTTAAGGAATTCTAATTATAAGCAAATAAAGATATTAAAAAATTATGCAATGGACTTTACTGGGTTAATTTAAGTAGAAGTTGTGTACAATCTACGTTCTTTAAAGTTAACTGTAAATATGACAAATACAAGTTTGGTTTAGCCATGGTTTCACTTATATCACTTTAAATATGAATACGTTTGAAACTAGACTATTGAATAATATCATTTAGAAACCACGTATGTGGATGATACACTCACTGTATGGCGAGGCGATAATGATATTATAATGAACTTTCTTGAATAAGCAAACCCTTGCCATTGTGGCATTACCTTCACTGTTGGACATAAACCCTTCGGCCCACCACCTCCACTTAACGTCCTCGTCACAAGAGGAGAAAATTTAAATATTTCAACTACTGTTTTCTAGAAACACAACCCCATCACAACCCCACCACACATTGAATCTCAACCTTTTTTTGTATAAAATGTCGACTTTCTATTAATTTGTTTGTAAAATTTCTTAAAACATTTTCTACTGATTATTAATTCAACGAGAAAATTATTTTATAATGCATTACAAAAGATAGAGGGTACGACGATAAAGTAATCGACCTAACCTTAAAAAAAATGCAAGAACTGGATTCGTGAAAGACGGAACTAATCCCATTTGTTCAAACCATAAATAAGTTGTGTGTACTATATATATTCGATGTCATTACAAAACTGAGTTAAGTTCTTTCGAAATATATTCAAACAAACACATTCTATTTAACTAACTTAAAATTTATATAACAGCCAATACCGAATACGTTACAAGTTACAATCCATTGACGTTTCTCGTAACTATTTTTTTTTATCTAATTCGATTGTTTAGTATTAATGATACCATATATATCAATTCAAAGAATTGAAAAGTTATTATAACCTGCACTGTAGACGTCATGATAAAATCAAGTGCACTAACGAAACAACGAAGGTTATATTTTATTTGACGAGAATAATATCCGAAACTTAGATATCGAAAGCATGAAATAAAATTTTCAACATTTGTAATTATTCTATATTTCTACTTCCGTACCATTGTAAAAACTAGCAGAAACAGATGTTTGTGCTAGTAATTACCAATCGTGGTAATAAACTGTAATATTTTTAAGAACTCCAGTTTCTCAGTATTACATTTAAATATTACACCAATGAAGATATAATCAAACCGTCACGTACAGTTTTAGTGAGAGTCGTGTTCTTGTTGTGAGGAGAGTAATTTTATTTAAAACTGTGTTATATTATAAAGAAATGGTTGTTGCACATACTACAGTTATTTTTCTAATTGCTTGAATCTTGAATACCCAAAGTGTGAAATTTGTTATGCATATTTTTGTGGTGTCATTCAATAGATGGCGGAGGAGTTTTGGTTAGATACATAGATACTGACATACACGTTGCGTCCATTATAGTAAGAAGATATACAATAGGAAGGAGACTTTCCCATTTATTTTCAGCCAGTAATTTCAATCGACCAGGAAGTACTGTTATACATTTTAATCAAAATCTTAACTTGAACTGACCATAGTAGTACAGCTCAGTTGTCCATAGGCTTACAGTTTATAGAATTTATGTCAGTCTTTTCCAATGAATACAGCAATACAGAAAAATGTTCTAGTCAGTTACTCTATTCAATTACATCAACAGCGCCTAATATTCACGTCAATCAACTGATCATTGTAACACACAATAAGTGAATGTATCTGCTCAATTATTTACGCAATAATATAAGTTAAGAAAATATAATGTAATGAATCCATTGTTTCTCTTGGTACAGTAATGTTTTTCATGGTGGTATTCTATATTTCAAACACATATGTGCGTCTTGGTTAGTGATCCAGACAAAGGATCAGAGGATCCATGGATAAAGTCCCGTTACCACAAAATTACGCTCTGCACTTTGGAGCTGTGGCTGAATTGTGTTGACTAGCTTCCTATCAATTCAACCTTAGCGAAGGCTAGTGCAGATAGCCTTTGAGTAGCTTTGCGGGAATATCCGAAACAAGTCAACAAACAAACAAATGTATTTATTTTTTAATTATGAGCTTGAAAAACTCGTGACATATTTATACTACACATTTAGAACTTCAGGCTACGTTAAATTTCGAAGACATTGTTTTATCAGTGTACGAAATTACACGCCTAAGGGAATTGTTTATTTCTTGTTAGTATCATATTATAAAATGTGATATAAGCCATACATAAATGTTCAGTTTTAAATTAATTAACTACATACAACGAGAATGTTTGTTTAGCGCAAAGCTCTATCATAGGATATCTGCACTCTGTTCACTACAAGGAATCGAATCCCGAATTTTAGAGAACTTAACCCACCAGACTCATTGCATCTGACTACAGTATATTCTTGTGAATTTCAATATTTGTTCTTATTGTTTATTGTATAACGTATTTGAAATTCTCTAAATTCGAAAGATCATTCAATATGCTTGAAATTAAAAAAACAGTTCCTAGTAACCGAATTTATCTTAATTTTTGCTGCATTTGTTTTAACGTTGTAAACTTTCTGCATTTTGAGTGCGATAGTCAACAATGTATCCTTACATTAAGACTACCCGTGCTACACGGGGCATTCATGTCGTTTCCTTTGAAAGCTATCAAAAAACGGTTATACTTTTGTGCAAAAAGAATGTCCAAAAGGTATATTATAAGTATTTTACATTTAAACTCTCAATAATTTTTTTATTTCGAAATGTTGTCAATTCCTCCTAAAATAATTAACAGATTTTTAAAATAAATAATAAGGTTGTTGGCACTAAAAGAAAGTAAATAAAACTAAAAAAATGGAAAAATTAGTAAAGTGCTGGGCGTATTTTTCTGGCAATGGGACGTGAAACATAAACTCAGATTCACAGACTATTCGCTGAGTCACGCCGGCTCCTTTGGCGATCGGTATCCGAAAAGTAGGCACTTTGAAAATTGCATAAAAATGGGGGAATTGAAATGCCTATCAAACTCGTACATATTAGAAAATTAATAAAGTAAGAAGTTTTAAAATTCCTGTAACCAAGAGACCCCTGAAAGTTTCTTGTTGATCAGAGTTCAAGAAGTGGGTACTAAGAGAGAAAACGTGATTAGCTATCAAACTCGTAAAAATGAAACAATGAATAAAGTAAGGGGCTTTAGAATCCCTCTGGGGCATATCCAAGAGCTTCTGAAAGACCCATAGTATCAGATAGCCCCCCAGTGGCACAGCGGTATGTCTGCGGACTTACAACGCTAGGATCCGGGTTTCGATACCCGTGGTGGGCAGAGCACAGATAGCCCTTGTGTAGCTTTGTGCATAATTAAAAACAAACAAACAGTATCAGATATCAAAAAGTTGAAAATTTGTTCTTATGGATAGACAGACACAAGACGCTATATAGTAGATTGCAGGTCATATTTTTCCAGTAGAGTGGAGTTATATTAAGTTTCATAAGTATAAGCACTAAAAATAACAGTCGCAGGTTGTATTTGAAACGTTAGTTTCTGCCTAAAGTTTTGTTCTTAAAACTAGTCACTAATTGTCCCTTCCTTCTTAGAACAACTTCGTTGTTTGTTGTAAGCTTGTGTTGCACACCTACAGTATTATGACAAAATCATGTATATTTTTGTTGAAGATCAATTCAAATGTTTTGATATTGCAATTTTGGTCTAAGGTTTGGTTTTAAGAGTCCTTAAGGAAATAGAATAGAAAAAGTTTGAATACGACAAACTCAAAGTCAACAATATATATGTCTGTAGGAAGATTTTAATGTGGCGAACTAAAATTCAATAATACTTGTAAAAAAGGTTTGAAGTTGGTGCACTTACAGTAAGAAAACCAGTAGAAAAGTTTGAATACGACAAACTCAAAGTCAACAATATATATGTCTGTAGGAAGATTTTAATGCGGCGAACTAAAATTCAATAATACTTATAAAAAAGGTTTGAAGTTGGTGCACTTACAGTAAGAAAACCAGTAGAAAAGTTTGAATACGACAAACTCAAAGTCAACAATATATATGTCTGTAGGAAGATTTTAATGTGGCAAACTAAAATTCAATAATACTTTTAAAAAATGTTTGAAGTTGGTGCACTTACAGTTGAGAAAACCAGTAGAAAAGTTTGAATAAGGTGCACTCGGAGTTAACAATACCTGTATAAAGGTTTTGAAAGTGGGCAATCAAAGCCAACAGTACCTGTTTCTGCTACATTTGGAATTGTTGATAACAAAAAAGTACATTTCCTGGTACAGACGATTAAAATAAAACAAATAGTGTGCTCTGATTTTGAGAATGTAATACTTATCGGTGATACTTGTTATACAAAATCAGATATATTTAATTGGCAAATCTTTCTATGAATGTACCTGTATAATATTTTAAACAACTCAGGTTTTACTTCTAATAACCAAGCTTAAACACTAAACAACAGTGTATTTCTAAATGATCAAAATATTTCTGCTCGTTATTAGAACGTTTATTATAAACTAGTTTCTTCATACATTTTATATATCTTTTTATAAAATAATGAGGTAAAATAACCACGATTAAGTTGAAAAAAATCCATTGAGAATTAATTGCGATTTTTAAATGTTCTATGATAAAAGCCATTGCTTGAATAATTGTTGCCGCCTTCTAAAGATGAAAATACGAACAAAACCAAAGAACTTACCATAATTTCTCCGTCAAAGTCTTGAGCACCAATGACCACAGAGGATTTCAGTTTTGTGTCTACCAAATTAGCTGCCTTCTTGAATCAACTTAACTTGTTCTAAACAACCAAGCTTTAATAAGAACTAAAAGATTTATCATGTAGATACAAATAGCAACTTCTCGCATGTCACATACGATCACAGCGCTCTTTAGCCAGTGTAACTCGAGCAGCTTTAAACCATTATCTCTATAAGTTGTTTTAACCAAATTTTGAAGTCGCACGCTTGAGGAATGACCAAAATGGGGTAACTCAATGGGAAAATATTGACCTGCGTCTCGTAGTGCAGATTGCAAGTGACTAGCCACTTGCCAGCTGTTGCTGTTAAGTCTGTCTCTGTAACGGTCTTCGAGGAACCGCCCTGGCTCAGGTAGCGAAGCACCTAGTGATACTGCTTGTAACAGGTTGCAGTATGCCAGCCTGCCGGGACCAGTTAGAATGTACGATCTCAGTTCCCCAACAATCCAGTAGCCCTTCGGGCGGATACTCAGACGGCCGTAGGCATCAAGTCCTTCTTGTACTCAAAGAAACGTCAAATATGCGTGCGCAAAGATTTTTGCCCCTATCCAAGCTCCCTAGGGACTAAAACAATGTTACACACACACACACATCCACAAGGTTGATGAAAGTGCACGCACAAACTACAATATACCTGAGAAGCACCCTTTTACATAAAGACATGTCTGCGGGGAACAATGAGGTGATTCAGCAAACTTAATAGCTACCTGGAGGAGTTTTTCGTATTCTATGATTTTAGATGACTAAAAGACGCCTGAAAGCTTCTTGTCATACACAGTGAAGGAATGTAAAAACTTCTGGTAACAGTCGGAGTCATTGTTCTGCCCTACTTTAATTGCTTTATTTCCAGGTTAAGTCCTCCCTCTCTTAACCTGAGCAAATGAGGAAAAAAGTATTTAATGGCAACAGTGATATAGCCTGAATTATAAAGAGTAGTAAAACAATCTATCTGTTTATTGAATAATATTAAGCATGGCAATTTTAAAGGAAGAAAAAGAAAATGATTATGAGCAAATTTAACCTTCTGAACTCATTCGTGTTTCCTAACACCATAAATATTCGTATACAAATCAGCAATTCTCTTTCTTTTGTTTAGTTTCTCTCTAATCTTCCACACTGCTTTTATTGTTACTGTTTTACCTAATATTCTTGCATATAATGCAAGCATTATAGTTTATGGTTTTATTTGACAATGGCATATTGAATTTAACATGCATAGAATATATTCCCTTACTTTTGTTAATTAATTTTTTTCGTTGGCGTAATTCAATTACAAGTAGCCAGAGGAAAACAAATCCTGAAAGAAAGTCCTGAATTCAATGAGTACACATTTCATTTCATTTGCTTCTGAATTATCGTCTAAAGTTATAGAAAGAGTTACCTGCCTATTTCCTTTATTAATTTTGAACTGATAGAAGCAGAATAACAACGATTGGCCTGTTCGATTGGAATGCTCGATAATTTATCGCTAAAATTTGCGTCTAACTTAATGCAGTTAATAACTATTTTCAATAAATACGTCACTTTGACTAAAATCTGAATGATACAACTCATACAATTCATTTCATTTCGAAAGGTGCAACATGTGATGTTTGAGTAAAACAAGTTGTATAAAAGGTAAGTAAAAACGAAAACTAAATGCAACGAATTTCTGATCTTTAGCCGAGTCAAAAGCCTAACCAGATATGAGGTTTAAATAGAAAAGCTTGAAATTATTCAGCAACTACAAGATTTCCTGACGAACAAGTTGAGTAATAAATATCAACAGAATAGAACATTGGTGTATCTGTGGCTAAATTTCCACTGAGATCCCTTGACGGCTTTAGATCAACCTCATACAGGTGTAAATCGAGCCTTAAGGGCTTTCCAATTCCCGCCAGTTGAAGTCACCTTGATAATCGTGGCGTGGGCTGAAAATTGGTTTGCGCTGGCGCAGATGAATAGATCCAAAGTTCAGAGCTAATAATTAATATATGGTTTTCACTATAACACTGTTGTCTCTTGCAAAAAGAAATACTCTATTCTTAAGATATATATATATATATATTTGTTATCAATACACTTTTGAAGAATAGAATCGTATTTTTTACCTTGCTAAATCTTCTATTCATGTTAAGTTAAAAAACAATACTTGGATTTGAACTACAAGAAAAAGTACCCTTAGAAATATTATTTCTAACACCGTGTGGCATAATAAAATACATCTTGAACAAACTCACCTGAGAGGAAGAATCTGAACTGGATGATTATTTAGGTCTAAAAAACGTTATTATTGTTTAGAAAGGAAGGGTGACCAAGAAGCCTGAGAGAACTTTCAACTTACAGTAATGATCGAATGTTGAAATGTAGCTTTTTAACGGTTTACTTAGGATTCACTTACTTTAAAATGTTATTTTTTGCATTGACTGTGGTAGATAATAGTGTCCAACAGTGACAATGCCAGATTTGTTCAAAGCTTGTTTCATGATACTCCACCCAATGTTACAAGGCAGTTTTATCAACTCCTCTCAACCGCGGAAAGAAATGCAATTGGTGTATCCAATTCAAGCTTGTTTACAACAACATAAATAATCTAAAGTCAATAACAAACAAACAAGGTAGAAAGTTTCAATTGATATAATTATTCTGTATACGCGAAACCTATATTTCAAACAGTTGTTATTGTTTTCGGATATTCGTGCAAAGTTACACAAGGGCTATCTGCGCTAGCCGTCCCAAATATTTAATTGATAGACCAGAAGGGAGGCAGCTAGTTACAGCACCCATCGTCAACTCTTGGGCTACACTAATTGAATAGTGGGATTTGATTGTCATGCTTATAACGCATCCAGAGCCCCAAAATGAGGATCTAGATTTTTAGAGATACAGTCAGGCACGCTACCTATATGTAGTGTAATGGTTTACGAAAAATGTTCTTTTTGGAACGCATATTCTGTATTAATTTTTATCTATAATAAAGTCTAATACAAGTGATTATATGCAATTTACGTCTGTCTGTCAATCTGTTTTATGTTATACCACTAGTGGTAGAATTGTTGTTTTTGTTCATATTCAGCGAAAAGCTACACAATAGGCTATCTGCGCTCTGTCTAGAGTGGGGATTCAAACTCTGAATTTTAGCGTTATAAGTCCGTAAACTGACCCACCAAGAGACAGTGACAAAATAACATAACATTTCGTTTAAAGCAATATAGTTTTATAAAAACAAAGAACTGTTTGAAATTTCTGCTTTTTTGATTACTATGTGTGAATAACAAATTTGTTATCTGTTAGAATTCTTTGGGCAGTGGGCTGATCCCTCAGTATTGGGAGACTGCGAATAGAGTTTGTAAGAATAAAATGATCTCCAGAAGTTTGTGATAATTATAACTATTTTACTAAAACATGTATTGTTTAACATGACGTTTGAATCTATAGTTAGCAAACATTAACTTAATAATAGTCAATATTTTAATGAGAAATTACTTCATTCTACACTACATTGCTATATTTTCTATTCTTGTTAATAAAGCTAGACGTTTAGAAAGCTATCAATAGTACAGAGGTTGAGTAGGTTATATTAAAAAGGTAGGCTTTCCGTAAGCCTTCTACATTCGTCGGCTTGACTGGTATATCTTCCTATGGAATAGCATGAATACCCATTTTATTCTCCTACTGTTTGGAGTATAAGATGGTTGAATGGATACATCTTGGAAGCAGTTTCTGTACACGTGACTTTTGTTGCTTTTCGGGACAGAGGTTCTATTCTTCTTGATTATGTTGCATGTGAACGTTTTTTTGCCACTGACCTTTGTGTTCCTAGATTCTCACCTGTTACAAGACGCCACACTACACTTTGCTTACCGTGACTGGGTTACGACTTGCTGCAGTTCCCTTTCTAGACGATTCTTGTGCCGCAAGTTTACCAATATTCCTTTTTTCCCAATGCCATTAAGTGCAAGAGATTAGATTTTATAAATCCCGATCTTAGCACACCTTTATGATCTTAGTGTGTAAATATTTTGCATTGGAAATGGCTGTTACAAACAATTCTCAAAAGCGATCAATTTTTGTTGGTGTCACACTACTTTACGAAAGGCAGATAGTGTCGAAATGTAGTTCTGATACATGCAGTTAGTTACACCATGACTTTATAGCAGCTGTTGTTGTCGCGTGACATGATGACTTCCGTAATCAAAATCTTTTTAATATAACCTCCTTAACCCTCTGCATTCCTCATTTAAAAGTAATCAACTAAAATTTTAAAATGTGAATAGAAATATAAATAGTGTTGTAAATCTATTTTTTCATTGTTGAACAATGTTTTGAATTCTGTATTGATACCATTGTTGACTTTTATTCGGGTCGAAGATACTGTTAGTATGACGTAATTTTAAGATATTTTACAGGCAAATTCAGCTACTACGGCATAGTCAAGGTCAATAAGTACGAAAAGTTTCTACGATTAAAGAAAGAAAATGTAGTAAACCTTAAGTAGATAATGTTCATCATCACTTGGCTGGAACGTCGCTAGTAGTTTCTCTTATAAATGTATGTTTTCAAACTTTTTTTCTGCTTTCTGACATAATCGGGGAATGTTTTAAGATCGCATATCTTCGTTCATTTTTTTTTTCAGTTTTCCATAAAACATTTATCTTGGTAGTTTATTGCTTTTTTATTCTATTTTTGATGTACAGTTTTTTCACCAGCTCTTACACAACAAAATCATATTTTAATTGTATCTGTTATACATCTTATTCCATGTTTTCTCCAATAGTTCACTTTGTAAGCCATTTGGTCGTCTAATTTTGCTCAGACCAAGAATTCGCGCTGATTATTGGTATGAACAGATATAGCAAACAATAAACACATTTAAATATAAGAATATACCGGTGTGGATAATAAGAACAACGTCCAACTAAAACATGTACAGAGGTGAAAAAGTAATAGTTCTATCTGGCGATCTTTTAGGCAACCAGGACAATTAATCTCGTAGAGCACGAGTTGATACATTTTGTTGTTTGCCACAACCATCGTGTGGCAACTTAAAATTTAGATCATGCTACACAGTTGTTGGCTTGCACGGTGAAAAAAAGAACGTCGGTGATGCTGGAGTTTGACGATTATTAGAAAGTGTCTGGATTAATTCATGGATAACCTAGATTTAGAATTTCTTGTGCTAACTTTACTGTTTGCTCTTACGGGAACTATCGAGTTTTGTAAGTTTGTAGAAGTATATCAAACATCAGAGTTCCATTAAGGTTTGTTCTTTTTACCTATTCTCTTTTTTTTATTTGTACATTTAAAACTGTTTATCTCAATAATATTCATTTATTCTGAAGTCGTTTAAGTATTTTAAGTTCATGGGACGAAGAATAAGCATAGTCACAAAAGTTAACTCATTTAGAACTTTAGTTTGAGGATTATGTTTAGAAAAATAGAATTCAATTGCCACGTAAAATTATTTTGATGAGTTTACCCAAAGAAGCATTTTTTGTCAATCCAATTGTGCTTAGAAATTTTGCGAAAAGCTCGTTTGATATAAACAGATACTTCAACTTTCTTACGATTTTTCTCATCCAAGTAACTTATGTTTTATTTCATGTCGGAGCAATTTTACCTTATTGAATACAAAATTATTCATACGTTATTCTCATACATATTAATAAAATACCTCGTCCTTGTAGTCTGAGTTGAATAGTGTTTAAGGCTATCTCTATCTACAAATCTACCTATTCTTCCAGTGCACTTTTGCCGTATTTTTTGCCGTACAGCTATTTCGCAAAATGGTGCCCTCTCTCCCAGTGGCTCAACGATAAGCTTGAAGGCTTACACGCTAAAAATAGGGCTTCTATACCTGTGGTGAGCACAGACCAGATAGCCCATTGTGTTG